TTTGGGTTTAGGGCTAGGGGTTTAGGGTTTAGGGTTTAGGCTTCCCGGAGCTTGCAAAAATCCCTGAACTCAACAAGAATTATACCTTAAATCATAGTAGGGATCCTACTAGAATTTGAAGTAGTGTTCCTTAAGCAACCCTAAACCCCTAAACCCTAAGCCCTAAACGCTGGCTTAAGGGTCCAAAGGACCTACCAACTCCCACTGTTACAACAATCTGAAAACAAAGAGTTGGGCGCGGAGAGAGAGGCCTTGATAAACTCTCATGTAGGGGCCTTAATAATTAGAATAGGGTTTTTGGGGTTCCTTATTATAGTTATCGTATAATATATGTAGGGGCCTTGATAACTAGAATAGGGTTTTGGGGATTCCTTGTTATAATTATAGTATAATATACCCCAAACCCTATTCTAAGTATTAAGGCCCCTATATTTTACGTCTATACCCGAAGGTACACGAGGGAAACTTCTACACCTGCGCTTCGAAAGATTTGGACTCAAAATCCTGAAGTCGCGATGCCACAACCAGGGTTTAGGGTTTAGGGTTTTAGGGTCCGCAACAGCCAGAAACCTCGTTCTTATAGACACAAAACAGACAAAGGACAACATTCCTCGTCCATTGGGGTCAGGCCCATCGGCAGGGCAGAGACCCAGCCGAGAATAATTCAGACTAGTCTTTCCATGTCGATGCCCGGCTGCCGCCAAAAAGCAGGGCTCCTTGGCCCAAATGATCAAACGAGTGACCCCACCGAGGCAGCACCTCTTGCTCGCTGCATTTGATGTTTCATGGAGATGGCGCGCGACCTGGAAAAATCTGCGCATGTGATGTTTATGATCGGAAACCAGACCCTGCCGATCGTCCAGCTGCCTCATCTCTAAACGGAAGTTGAACAGACCCTCTGGCCATTCCACTGCCCCATCGATGGCATCACGTGGCGAATGCTGGTAATGTCATGTGTGGCTCTCCTAAATTCCACTTTCGTTTGAGTGTTGCAGTGCATGCCCTAGCTGCCCCTGAACCCTAGACAACTAGACCCTTGAGCGTGAACCGTGCTCCCAAAAAAAGGAACCATACACACAAGTCACTTAAACACCCAAACCCTGGATTCCAACCTTACAAACGACTGCAGCACGGCTGATGGACAACATCCTGCATTACCTTCCGTACCTGAAGATATATCACCCTTCACTGCGGATGGCTGCGACCTATTGCGATGACTACCATGTCATGACCGTCTTGATGTCTTGGTGAGCCCTGCAGGCACCCCCGAATCTCAAGCATCCGACGCTTGTTGAACTATCGATGCCAAGAGCAAGGTTGTCGTTCGAGAGCCATCCCAAAGCCCAACTCCACAAACCTAAACCCTTTAATATAGGAGCCTTAATAATTACCTCTACTATTTTGGGGCTTCCTTGTTAGAGTTATAGTATAAAGAGCCCCCAATAAAGAGTGGCCAGGTCCATGAAGCTACCTGTCACAAGGAGCTCCTATTCAAGGACGAAGGTCAGGTGCCAGGGATGGTTTCCTCAACCCTACAACCCTAAACCCTAAACCCTAACATTATTCCTTAGGGTTTAGGGTTTAGGGTTTAGGGTTTAAATACCAACATTATTCCTCACATTTCCCTATCATGGTTCTACTATAAATAAAGGAGCCCAAAACACCATGCTAACTATAAGGCGTCGATCTTATATTCCTAATCCTCAGTCGTACATCAACACTCCCAGCTCATTTTCTTCAACTCGCCCTCGACGTAGCTTGCCTAAACGCATGTGTGTATATAATTATATATATATATATATGTAGTATTTGCATGTATGTATGTGTGTATGTACGCATGCACGCATGCATGCATGCATGCATGGATGGATGCATGCCTGCATGTATGCATGTCTGTTTGTATGCATGGATGGATGGATGTATGCCTGTATGTATGCATGTTTGTTTGTTTGTTTGTTTGTATGCATGTATGTATGTCTGTATGTATGTGTCTGTACATGTATGCCATATGTACATATATTCATATGCCATATGTTATATATATATATATGTACACATACAGACAGATAGGAGAGGTTGGCAACAGTCGGGCTTTGTAACTGTGCGTAAACAAGAGTTCTGCTAAGGAATACGTGGTTCAGCCCCTTATATGTTATAGTGAACCCGAACTCTGCAAAGTTGGATCATGTGTTTAGATCATTATTGCTGGGATTCCCCACACTTTACATTAAGTCCATGCGGAAAGCGATGTGCCAACTTGTTGGCTTCTACTGTATGGCAATTCTGTCGTCAATGCCTGCCCCTTCGAAGGGACCGTGGCAGTACTGTCACCCATAGCCGGAGCCTGGTCAGTTGGACTACAGTCTGACGTGGAAGCTTAGGGTTTAGGGTTTAGGGTTATAGGGTTTAGGGTTTAGGGTTATAGGGTTTAGGGTTATAGGGTTTAGGGTTTAGGGTTATAGGGTTTAGGGTTATAAGGGTTTAGGGTTTAGGGCTACACTCTGAAGTGGAAGGGTCGATTCGAGGTTCAGAGTTTCAGGGTGTTTCAGTTGGGACGAGCGGGCTATCTTAAACCCTAAACCCTAAACCCTAAACCCTATAAGTTGCAAACCCCAAAAGCTCTACCTCAAGCTGTGCCCCCAGGGGGGCCCTGAAGAGACTAAGTCTAGGACATTTTCAGGTGGGTAGTTACGCAGTGATGGACTTGGAGCCTACAACTGCGGCGCCGACCCTGCCAAATATGCAGGCACGCTGATATGTGGAGAGGTTTGATTCTGCAGCTTGCGGGAAGGGATTCTTTTCTGCATGTGGTTTGGCGCTGTGTTTCTGCTATGAAGCCCAAGTATAGGCAAAAGCGTTGCAGGGCAGAGTTACCTTACTCTGCTTGTGTTAGGACATGCTAGGTTTCGTTGCCGGCAAACTTCTCGACAGAAAGATGTAGAATGCTGCGCAGAGAAAACGCGAGCGACGTTCTTTGTCCTACTCTTTGCAGTTGAAGCAGCGATCGGGCGGTTGTAGGTCCGATCGAGTTTTGACGGGCATTCGACTCGTCCAGCAATTGTCACTTATTGCGGACATAAAGGCAAGAAATGAAGAGTCTTGCTTTGTGTCGGAGCTCCAGGTGTGCTGAATAGCTGTGCAGCTGGATTCGTTGCTCGGCTGCCTGCGCTTTGAAATTTGGAATGCTGTCTTGCGATGCAGGAGATAGTGTAGCTTTTGGCTAGCCTGCGTCAAGGAGACGGAGAGTTGACAAACCCGTGTTACATCTCCGAGGCACGCAGTTCGTATTTCCGCTGGGGTTCGCAAGGTGGTCTCGTATCGGCGACTTGGCTGACGGCTTGAATCCAGCAGTTCAATTTGCCAGTCAAGGGCTTCGAAGTGCGGGTTTATATAGGTGCTCACAAACCTCGGTGAGCGCAGTAGGGAAGAGTGAGTAAGTGTTCCGGGACCGCAGAGGGAAGAAAGGCCAACGAGGCACAAGCACGCAAATGCATCTCTCAAACAATGCCCAGAAGGAGAGAATCTGTGACTGAGTGACAGGACTCGAGGAACCCATGCCCTCCGTTCGAGACGGACGATACAACGATTGGAGCTGAGGTGAGCGAGTTCTCAGTCGGAACAGCTGACGCCATAGATGTGGCTTGCAAGGCACAGCATGCATGTATGTAAGAGTACCATCCTCGATTCTCCAGCACGGTTGCACCTGCAGAGCTTGGATAGCGGCGTGACCGGTACAGATTTGTCACTCAACGTGCTGAAGCCAGGAACCCACGCTGTTGTGGACTATGTTGGCAGAGCAGCTGGTCTCTTTTCTGCAGCTGGAGATGGATTCGGCTCAGGTGATNNGGTAACGCCGTGCCTGCTTGAGCTGGGCCGGTACTTGTGACGCGATTGCCTGGCCACATCTTGGCATCATTGCTCAACTTTGACGCAGCCGCGGTCGTTATGCTGTTAGGAGGACTCCCGTGCATATGGAACCGAGGCGGCATTCAGGAAATACTACTTCGAGAGTGTCATCTGGACTTGGAAAATGCCGTATGCGCCTGACTTCGAGTGCCTTGCCTGTGATTTCAGAGATCCGGAGATGTTCCAGAGATGTACCCTTCATCATCCATCTATGCTATGTGTCAATGTGAACCTCCAAGTGTACGGGCCCGGGCATCACCATCCTTCAGGCCTGGCTGGTCCCTGCAGTGGTTGCTTCGCCAAAGCCAGCGCCTGGACCGCACCTAACCACCTTCAGTCAGGCTTGACGCAGATCCTCAGATGTTGCAAAGCGTCGCCGACAGGTGCTAGGCAGGCAGGTGTGGCCGGAGTGCCATCGTATTCTGTCGCTGATGCCGACGGATTCTGCGCTGCTCGCCCAGAGACGTAACGATTAAGCAGCAGTATCTGTGCCGCAGGTCGGCGGCAGCTTCACAGCACAGCAACGAAAGCTTGCCGTCCCCGGTTGAAACTGCAACATCACAAACGAACCGAGGCTCGTATAGAGTCAACAGGACTGAACTCAAGCTGAGCCTTCTCAGGCTCCGAATGCCAGGACCGTTGCTTCAAGAACTGTGTAGCATCTCCCGCCGTCGTAGCAGGATGAATCCAACCTGTGACATCGAATCGTAGGGTATGTCAATGTAGGGCAACGGGACGGAGGGCGAGGCAAGACCAACCTGCGTTACGTATTCTCTGCTGCTCACCTTCCAACCCTCACACCTGCTCGCTTGGACATGGTCTGATGACTATGATGTTTTCGAAGATGTCTTCCGAACCCAAATCCAGCGTTGGGACTAGAACAGGAGATCCTGCAACGCATGCTGTAGTTGCAACGATGAACGAGACCAGCATTCCTTCCCATGTGAAGTGTCCAGGTCCAGTGTCATCTGAGTGTGGGACTCAGCCGAAGCCATTCGAGGCACAGCACCCTTTATGTACCCAGTTGTGCACGGTGACATGCCAACAGGGAAGACGGCCGTGTCCATGCAGCATATTCCTAGGTTTGCAGCCTGAAAAGAATGCAACTGCGAAAGTGGAAATTTTTGCCCTTGCAGCTATTTTAGCCGCTCCTGGCATCCCGGAGCCATTAAGACCATGAGCTGGGAGAATTTGCACTTCGAAAGTGCTGCGGATGTGCCTCCTGAGACTAAGAGCTTGGATTGCACGACTGGCTTTAGACAAGAAAACACGGATAGCCATCTTGCATCATCCTTCCATTCCTACGTAACATGGGCATACCTCGGACTGGACGCTGCATTCGACAGGTCGGCTCCGACATGGGCTCCAGCATCAGGATCATCTGAGCTTGGATGAGCCGAGTTGATGACTCTGTGATAGTAGCTAGGGCCGCACGCATGTGCGGGACCTCGCCTCGGGTTGCGACAACCCACCGCCCACCAATCTTCCATGAGGGCAAGTTTTCCATAGCCGTTGAGGATGTGTTTGCAACTGCCAAGCCATGTCTATTCCTAGTCTTGGAGCGCGCGATCTTGGACTTGCAAACCCCATCGACGGCAAGAGTATCTCGCTGAGCAGCAGATGGTCACCGACAGACACTGGTGGATGCAAAGCACCTTAGTCTCTTCTAGTGCATCGGGGTTGAATCGAAAGCACCCATGAAATCAGACACTATGGCACGATGTCTTGAAGCAGCATCTGTGCGGTGTAGGAAGGGAGGTCATGTACTTCACTCAGCCAGTGAATTGTCAGTGATTTGTCTGCAAGAACGATATGCACGAGCAGCTCTGCCAGCTCTGCGTGCCGTGCAGGGGCATCAAGTCGTGCACCCAGCAATCGACCGTTCTCTTGTCGGCGTTAGCAGAGCTGCGTGCAGCTGGCGAATACATCGTAAGGCCCTGAGGCCTGCATGCTCAGCGGCAGACGTGCACGACCTGAAGGGTCGTGCACAGAAGCCGGAGCCGTAGCTAGTTATGGATCGATTCGGGTTGTGCCTCTCAACACCAAAATCAAAATTCACCCGTACAAGCCGTAGCATGGGAGGCATCTCGACTCTATGACTCGATGTTTTTTCTGTTCACGTCTATTTCCCCATCTCGCTTCGCTCGTTTTACAGCGGCAAACCTGGGCTCCTGAGACACAGCCTCGTAAGGTCCTAATGACCCTGACCCTGGTGCTTGAGCGATTGGTCGCCAAGAAAAGCAGCCTTGGAGGGTTGTGCTTCTGCATCTCGGCCCGCAGACCTGATGCCAAGCCCTTGCCCTGCACTGTCTCGAGCACTGTTTAGACAAGCCAGCATGCAACCATAGCCCCTGCATTGTGGACTTTCAGGCCTAACCTTCAGACCCCCCAGAGACGGAAGTCGCTTTATCATAGACCCGCAACATCACGGCTACGGCTACAGGCAGGAACAGATGCGAAGCCCACCCCTCCGCGTAAGGCCTCGAGCCGGAATCCAACCCTCCGAAACCCATAGCCATAAGTTCGAACCGCTACCAAAACACCATGGCACCTCGTGATCAAAGAGATCGAAGTCCGAAGCGGCGGAGAAGCCGGAGCCGAAGTGATAGTGCCTCGGCTGCAATCTCAGCCGCGGATCACGCGCCTCGACGGCTGGATCGCAGGACGGAGGAGACCGAACGATGCCAAGACTTCCCGGCAGAGGCATGAGCTAGAACTTCCAAGTTCACCTGGGAGCTTTTGATTTTTCGACTTTCGCCAGCTTCATGGCCAGGTGCAGCAGCTCGGACGAGGACTATGAACCGCCAGTCTAGCTTCGAAACTGGCCAGATTCGCGAGCAGTTCAATTGGGCGACAGCCAGTTAGCAGCTTAGCACCATAGGCAGCGAGGATTGAGTGGATCCCGGAAAGGTCAACATGCACTGAAGTGTCATAGGAGAAGCCGCAGACGAAAGCGGATCCACCGGCTGCAAAGAACCCGGCGAAGCCGCGTGAGGCGTGTGCCATGTGGGAGAGTTTGAAAGAGTTTCTTTCTCCAAAGCACCACTCAAGACAAAAGCTATGACAGTCAATTGGACATGAAGGGGCTTGTTTTTGCACTGTCTCAGCGGCGCTCTTGGCTTTCCACAGTTCGCCTGTGTCGCCTGTTCGGAACTTCGTCAGAATTGTGGATGCCACCTCGAGAGGTTCGGATTTCGGATCTTGTCTTGTGACACTGCGCTGAAGACTGAAGACCTCCGAAGCCCTTGGCGCCAGGTCGTAACCGTTTCATTGGCCACCAGGCCATTCGGCATGGCACCCTCGAAGGAGGCAGTGCGTAATCAAGTTTTTGCTGGGAATCGGGGCTTCTGGATTTGGCAGGGATGCTTCAGCCGCAGGGCTAATTACCTAAAGTCCCAGAGGCGCAGTCATGATTCGTTTTCTTCGGCACCAGCATTC